ACTGCTCTCTCATCGTTAATTAAACGTGTTGCCTTTTACAGAATGGATGTTTATACATTTCCAATATAAATAAATTCGAAACCATCCTCTCTCTCTCTCCTTCTCCTCCTTTCCCTTCGTTTTTTCGCCATTTATAAAGACTTGTTGGCGTGGGTCCTGAGTGGCGGACACCTTGAAAGTAAATGAAGTTTTTAAGATGAAAATCCAAACAAGAACGTTAAATTAGCGCTTTTTTTTTTCACCGCGAGGAGATCTGGAGACATATACAAGGTTGGTGGGAAGTGCGTTTAAAATCCCACCCACTTGGAAATAGAAATAATCTGGGTGGGTTGAGGACCTGGGTATCATCTCGGCCAGTCCCACCTTCCTCGGTGGTGGCCATCCAGGTAAAGGCTGATAATAGTTTAATAAATCTATTAAGATCGTCGAGAAGGAGCCGACTTTGGTTCTTGGGGGTGGGGGCGGGAGGGGAGAGAAAGGAGGGGTATTTTCCAAATGCGCTCTACCTACGTTTCGTTCCCTCTGCAATACTGGGAGGCTGCTCTCGGTGGGGGATGCTCCCCTCACTGTGCAGAACCTGGCCCCATCTCCCCGGATTATAAGAAAAGTGCACCCGCGCACGGGCATGAGGATTTTGTCTCACTTCGGGCCAACGATTTATCCAAGCCATTGGCATATACTCTGACTTAAAGGAGGAGGAAGAAGGCACTTAGGTTCGCTTGGGCCTGGCGAGGGGTAGGTGGGCCATTCCTGCCTCCCACACACTCTGACCGTGCCCCCTCCCCCCGTGCTGACCACCTAAGAACCCAAATTGAGTTGTAATTAACTTCCTCTTCTCCGTCATAAATTGTTCCATCCACTTCTCCCCCACCCCCATCTCACCCCCCAGAACACATTAAATCGCCTCTACCCCAAGACGTCTCAATTTCCTTCTTATCGATCCGGACTCCACTTTTCTTGTTTCCTGTTGCTAGAAACTCCGGTCCCCCCCCACCACCACCCCGCCCTCGACGGCGGCTCCCGCCCGGGTGGCTGCCCCACCTGGGTACCACGGACTCCGCCGGCCCCAGGAGAAACAGAGGGAGACTTATTTCCTTCTCCTTTGGCTGAAACGTTTCAAACCTTTGAACAGGTGAGACAGCTGGGTGCCATCTTCTTTAAATCCCTCCAGGGAAGTTTGCTTGTTGTGACCCAAGTAGTTACTCTCACTCGTAATAATCTTGTGTGTACTCCTCTTTCTTTCCATCTCCCCCAGTAACCCTCTGCGACCCAGAATATATTTATCCACATATCTCCATCCCCCAATATTTCCATTCCCTCTATCACATTTTTCTTTCCCCCACTAATGTGTCACTTTCTCTCTGTAGCTGTCTCGCCTCTTCAGTCTCGCTCTGTCCTGAAGCTTGGCAGTATCTGACGATTTGTGGGCTCTTAGCTGCAAACTGCAATTACGGGGCAAACAAGATTTACTTAGCCCAAAATCTAGTCAGCGTAGGGCAGGTTCCTGCACCGCTACGGGCTCCCGCCCTTCCGCCTGGGCGGCGTCCCGCAGCGGGAACTGCGGGAACCTTCCGGCCTCCCACCTGGGCCGCCACTTTGCCTCCTTCCGGGCCCCGGGAGGTTGCGCTGGTGGCACTGTCCGCCCGGAAGCGGGAGAACGGTGGCGGGTTCCCCACTCGAGAGTGATCGCGGGAAAATCTGCTGCCTCCGCTGGAAATCGAGATTAAGCCGTTGGCCGGCGCGGTCGACGGACGGCGGTGCCGCAGCCAGTAGGTCCTGCAACGTCTCATCATTTAGCTAATCGAGTCGAAAAGTTTCTGTAAGGGCCAGACCCAGCATCAGATGGTAACACTGATTGAACAAGAGATTAGCACAATAGATCTCTAACCGAGGGGAAGCGTTGCTTTTCACGCTACGCGCCGTAATTAATGGTATGAATCAATTAATTTGACTTTTATTGTGTCGAATGAAAAAAGCGCAACAAATGGAACTGGCGGCTGGGAGTTGTTCACCCCCCCCCCAACCCCTTCCTCCAGGGAGATTCCACTGAGACACCGGGGAATGGACGGATCAGGCTAGGTCTTGGCCGAGGGAGGGCGAGGCAGCGACCAGCAGCGCCGAGGGAGTCCTGAGAGCCAGCCCTGGCTGGCAGCAGAATCGAAATTAGGCTGATTTGGAGGCTACTTTAAGAAGACTACCGAGAGCAGCCCTTGGAGCCGCTACACTCCCGCGCGCGCGCGCGCGCGCGCGCGCACACACACACACACACACACACACACGGCACGCGGCCACGCGGGTCCAGCCTCTTGGGCTGCGATAGGGCTGGCGGCCCGCGCCTCGCACTGCACCTGGACAACTGAAACTGTGCAAAAGTAATTTCTGAATTTTAAATTTCGGGTTCTTTTTTTGTCCTTCCAACCTTCCTTTTTAAAGTATTGGGTTGCTCGGAGAGTTGCAGCCTCGACCTCTGCAGCTGGGTGCAGTGGTGGGCTGCCAGCTCGAGCCGCTCGGGTCGGTTTCGCGGAGGTCTAGATGGCATCGCAAACGGTTCGGACCTGCGGGGCCACAAAAAGGTGCAGCTGCGGAAATCAACTCAGAGATGCATTTTAGGGTCAGGTACAACAGGGGATCGTTTAGATACAAAAAAAAAAAAAAACTTTGGAGTTTCGCGGGTGTCTCTGGATGGAGTAACTGCCACCTTCCCCCACCCCCACCCCATCCCCGGCACAAACCAGAACTTTCTGCGAAATGGAGATCCAATGGGCTAGTGTTATATCCAGGAAATTACCTAATGGAGATGAAAGTCAATCTGTGTGTCTCACTGCCTATAATGAAGTAAGTTTACGGATTTTTTTTTTCCTAGGCCAAGGATTGAGGGAATCGTAGGTGAGAGAGACACAGACTGGAGGGTATCAGAAGCACCACTGTCCACCAAGAATTAAATCGGTGTCTTAGCGTCTTCTGTAAATATTTCACCAACTATTTCCTCTCGGACGTCTCCCCTTGTTCTCCTTCCTCTGGTGAGGCCGCCATTCTCCTCCCAAGACTCAGCAGACAGACAGGGCTTGGGTTCAAGGAGCCCGCCACACCCGGCAGGCGCTTGCATCTCGCTTTCAGGCGGCCTAAAACTTCAGGAGGAGAGAGGTGGCGCATCGCGGACTCACCGGGTCAGGAGCACTATTCCGAGGTGCGAGGTCCAAGCGCACGGGCAATGCCACGCACCCGTGGTTGGTTTGCGATCCCCCACCCCCAATCCCAGTTAAATCCCCATAGCCTTTCCTACCACCAGTAATTTTACTCGCCAAGGAAACTCGAATGTGTACTAGCCGCATCCTCGCCTCCTCCACCCGCTCTGCTACTGGTTTCCGCGGAAGTTAAATCTTGGAGGATTTACCTAAGCCTTAAGAGGAAAGAATCCACGTTAGTTAGCAGCGACGGCAACCCTAGCACCCGCACACCCGAGGCCGCCCCTCGCTCCCAAGAGGCTGGGCCCCGCGGCCCGGGAAGCCACCTCGCTAGCTCCCGGCGTTGTTCTGCCGTCCCAGCCCGAGAGCAGCGTCTAACGTAGAGGCCCGGAAGCCTCCTCTCCGCGCCACTCGACTTACCCAGGCCGCTGACTCCCGGCTCCTTCCCCAGCGCCTCATTTCCGACTTTTTCACATGCTAAGTCGTTTAACAACTCCCAGCAGCTAGTTACGGCCTCTTTATTTATAGGTTCACTGTTATTTTACGTCGTTTTTATTTCTCTCGGCAACTATTCTAATAGATTAATCAATAACTATTTTCTGACCTTCGGGAACCCCAGCTGATGCTGTTGTGGCCGCGCGGGGTGTGTGGGGAAATATATATATATATATAACACGCCCACATCGAGCGGGGAAAGCCAAGGCAGGACCCGGGTGGTTTGGCTTAGGGGGAAAAGGATACTTGTCCCCTCAGTAGGTGTCTCCGCCTAAAGAGCACTGAGGCAGAAGGGGGTCAACTCTAATTAGCAAAACGGAGCCGGGTGCGCAGCCCTTACTCGAGAGCTAAAAAGAATCTAAACCCAAAAAACAAAACAGAGACTACTTTTTCTGAAAAAAAAAAAATGGAATGGGAATCTCGTTCTACGTTGCCCAGTCCCAGCCAAAAGAGTGTTGGCAAAGGGGGGAAGGGGGAAGGGAGAGGGAGCAGGGAGGGCAGGGCAGCGAGAGCTGCCGGGTCCCGCGGACGCTCCCAGGCCCACGCCCTCACTCGCTCACACCCACCCTCCAGCACTCACACCCATAGGCTCCCTCGACCCCCGCGCGGGGCTCCAGCCTAGGCTGGGGTCCCGGGGCGGGCCAGGACGCCCTCGGAGCCCGCGGGATGCTGGCGCACCGTGCGGCGCTGAGTTGCGTGTCCCTCGTCCCTTTGTTGACAATTCCCTGAACCAACTTGAGTTTGGCCGGCTCCGCGGCGGCCCTGACGTCACGCGCGGTCACGTGGCCCCGCCTCCCGCTGGATCTTTAAGTAGAAAGTAATCTATCAGGCCAGTCCTTAAAACGGGACTTTCGACTACGGGGGCTCGGCGTCCCTGACACTCCCCCTCCCCCCCGTTGCCCCTGCCCGCGCCCTCCGGAGCTGCTCCGCGCCCGGCGTCCCGCGCCCGTCTGCACCGCTCTTGCTCTCCACGCCCGGGCCAGAGGCCGAGGAAGGCGGGCGAAGTAAGGGGGCGCGGCGTGGAGAAGCCGCCGTGGCCCGGAGCGGCATCGAGCGCCTAGTACCGAGCGCCAGGGACAGCAGGAGTTTGAGGAGCGCGGCCGCGGGGGGCGGACGGCAGCGCCCACGCCGCGCGATGCCGGGCTGCCGAGTGTGAGCCAAGCCGGGAGGGCCCCGAACCATCTACGTCCCCCTACCCTCTCCCAGTCTCCCATCTTTCGCGAGCACCCAAATCCCCTTCCCCCGAGCTCGGCGGCAGCCCCTGACAACTCCCATCGCCCACCGCTCCTTCCCCGCCGCCGCCACCAACCCCGAGGAGGGATGACCCTCTCCGGCGGCGGCAGCGCCAGCGACATGTCCGGCCAGACGGTGCTGACGGCCGAGGACGTGGACATCGATGTGGTGGGCGAGGGCGACGACGGGCTGGAGGAGAAGGACAGCGACGCGGGCTGCGATAGCCCCGTGGGGCCGCCAGACCTGCGCCTGGACGAGGCGGACGAGGTGACGCCGGCGGCACCCCACCATGGGCAGCCTCAGCCGCCGCACCAACAGCCCCTGGCATTGCCCAAAGAGGCGACTGGAGCCGGCGCTGGGCCAGGGGGCGAGGCGGGCGCTTCCGAAGCTGACGGCTGCAAGGGCGGCGTTGGCGGCGAGGAGGGCGGCGGGAGCGGCGGCGGGCCGGGCTCGGGCAGTGGCGCAGCGGGAGGCCTGGCTCCCAGTAAGCCCAAGAACAGCCTGGTGAAGCCGCCCTACTCGTACATCGCGCTCATCACTATGGCTATCCTGCAGAGCCCGCAGAAGAAGCTGACCCTGAGCGGCATCTGCGAGTTCATTAGCAACCGCTTCCCCTACTACCGGGAGAAGTTCCCCGCCTGGCAGAACAGTATCCGCCACAACCTTTCGCTCAACGACTGCTTTGTCAAGATCCCCCGCGAGCCGGGCAACCCGGGCAAGGGCAACTACTGGACCCTGGACCCGCAGTCCGAGGACATGTTCGACAACGGCAGCTTCCTGCGGCGCCGGAAACGCTTCAAGCGCCACCAGCAGGAGCACCTGCGCGAGCAGACGGCGCTCATGATGCAGAGCTTCGGCGCTTACAGCCTGGCCGCGGCGGCTGGCGCCGCGGGGCCCTACGGCCGCCCCTACGGCCTGCACCCCGCGGCCGCGGCCGGCGCCTACTCTCACCCGGCTGCCGCGGCAGCCGCCGCGGCGGCGGCGGCGCTCCAGTACCCCTACGCGTTGCCGCCCGTGGCACCCGTGCTGCCGCCTGCTGTGCCGCTGCTGCCCTCGGGCGAGCTGGGCCGCAAAGCGGCCGCCTTTGGCTCACAGCTCGGCCCGGGCCTGCAGCTGCAGCTCAACAGCCTGGGCGCCGCCGCGGCCGCCGCGGGCACGGCGGGCGCCGCGGGAACCACCGCGTCGCTGATCAAGTCCGAGCCGAGCGCGCGGCCGTCGTTCAGCATCGAAAACATCATCGGCGGGGGCCCCGCGGCGCCCGGGGGCTCGGCAGCTGGCGCTGGGGGCACCGGGGTAACTGGGGGCACTGGGGGCGGTGGGGGCGGCAGCGCGGCGCAGTCCTTTCTACGGCCGCCCGGGACCGTGCAGTCCGCGGCGCTCATGGCCACGCACCAGCCGCTATCGCTGAGTCGGACGACGGCCACCATCGCGCCCATCCTGAGCGTGCCGCTCTCTGGACAGTTCCTGCAGCCCGCAGCCTCGGCCGCCGCTGCTGCCGCAGCTGCAGCGCAAGCAAAGTGGCCCGCTCAATAGGGACGCGCCGATGGCCGGGACCGAGGGCCGGGTGGCGGCCTGGGGCGGCGGCTGCACTTCTAGTTTACGCGCCCCGCCCCGGGCCCGGCCCCCCTGCGCAATCCCAGATTCTGCCTCTCCCCCCCGACCCCTCAACACCGACCTTCGGCGGCCTCCACCCCCTCGCGCACACCTAGGCTGGCGGAGCAAACTCTCACCGCACGCCCGCCGGGAATAGCTTTCCGTACAGGTAAAACTGAAAACCGAATTTTCCAAAAATGTACCCCGACGGCTCCTGCTCTCAGTACCGTGGATATGGGAGGGAAATTCTTTGTACATATTTGTATAAAAATTACTGACTTTCCTTTTGGGGTTCTTATTTTTTTAAGAAAAAATAAATTCAGTAGATTTAGAGCTCTGAACTTTCATTTTTTTTGAAGGTTCACTCTCCGCAGTTTTATGTGAGAAAAAAATGTATAGAGACGTTGGGAGATTTTAAATATAAAAAATTTTCGAAAGGCGAAAAGTGTCATTCTATTATAAAAGTCTGTTTATATATGAATGAATATATATGGTATTCTAAATGTTATCCCATCGTGTTGTACACAACTTTGTAAATAAATTTTTAAAGTGTTCACCCTAGTGTTTTATTTAGATGTCTGAGGTAAACGACAGTATTTTAAAATTGTATTCGTATTTTATCTTTACTAGAAATTCGAGGAGTTTCAAGTATGACTTTCAAACTTAGCTATGCATAATTTGAATGGAAGAAAAATTTAATTGGAGAAAGGAGAGAATATGCCTAGTTTAAATCGTATTAATAATTTTCTTTTAGTTTTCACATAAATTTGGGATATGGGTGATGATCTCGTTCATACCAATCCATTAAGTCTGACCAGATATTTCTATAGATAAAATAAGCTGCCATTTAAAAAAACCAACCTAAATCTAAACAACAGTACAATCTTTTAATATTTTTTTAATACCAGACTTTTGTCTTCCATATGAGTTCTTGGTCATTTCAATTATCCTTTCAAAAGAATGTAAATTACAAACATCCCCCATTTTAGCATTTAAATCTTAAATTTTTGAAATTATTTCTTTTCATTCCTTAAGTGGCAGTGGTAAATAAACACAGTTAATTTTTTTTAATGTATGTTATGGCAGTTTAATTTTTGCAGTGGAACTGTATTATCTCTATTAACCTGATCAATAAGACATAGTTCTTATCTTTCATAATATTTTCAAATAAGATATTTCTTTTCTATGGCAATAATAAATCCACAACATAATTTTGATTTCTGAAGGATTCCTATGAATGCCTCCTCCCCTCAACCCTCAGTGTTTTGGAAGGCCAAGGAATAGTGGCCTTTAACACCCTTTTAAAAACAGGTGCACATCACCCCTCCCCGTTATTCCCCTCTTTTTATAAACTTTAAAAAACAAACCATAGTCTAGGTTAGTGGGAAATGAGAGATCATAGGGCAGGAATGGGGAGATGTCCTCGTAGATTATTTTTAATATGCATTTCAGCTGTTGCAACCTTAAAAGTATTAAGGTAGAAATAAAACATCTAGACGCGGAAGGCCGTTTCCCATTCACCAACATATCCTCAAGCATCAATTCTAATTATTTTGTAATTAATTTAGCTGTTACAAGTACTTTTGCGAAATCGCTTTTTAAATCTGGAACCGGTAGCCGTGCTGTCTGTTCGGCCCTATGCGCGTCCTGCTTGCAAAACAGGGCCAGTCCATGTCGGTGGCGTCCACCTCGGCTCTTGGTCCTGGAGATGCCTTCCGGCTTCGGATTCGACCCTTATTTCTCTGCTGTCGGCGTGGGCTAGGGAGTCGCTTTGAAAGAGAAGTCCTCGAAAATACCGAATCTGTTTTCCTGGTAAACAGTAAACATTATTGTGTCCTGAGTAAACATTCCTCCTGGATCACGGTCCTAAAATAAAACAAGCTGCCGGGGGTGAGGTAGTTTAACTTGATAAACAAGAACCTGATAATCAACCGCGGCGGAGAGGCGCAACAGTAACCTTCATGGAGAAGAGATTATGGACCACACAGTCTCCGGGCGTGTCCCTTCTAATCTCCTTTTACAAGGAAAACTAAACGGATCTAAATTTGTTTGTGTGTTGCAGCTATAAAAGTAACAAGTTGTTTCACAGTTGTGTCTGGCTAATCGGTTTTTACACAAACAGCAAATGGTACATGATTTGTGCAAACACATAGAGGTTATTTCTAATTTTAGCTGACACCCCTGGGAAAAGGGAAAGGCAGGGCTTCTTGAATTCACTTTTAGCCTCAAGAAGCTGCTGATCCAAGGCTTCTAAATGACATTGGATAACAGAGGCCTCATTCCATCCCTGATCCTTTGTTACTTATAAAATTACTCGCTCATATTTCCACGCATAGCAGCAATACCGGCCGAGCCTGAGCCCGCAGCTTGACACTCGGCCACAAGCCGCCGCTTGAGATCCGCAGGGCTTTTTCCAGCGATGCATTAGGCAGCAGGGAGTAGAGAAGGAGGGATCCGCCGGCAACTTTCCTTCTAGTCACTTCTCAACCTTGAACTAGAGCCTGGAGATGGTCCCTTTCCTTTATTTCTTGGAGAATAGGAGACTCCCAGATCCAGATCCCAAACCGGACAGCGGCTGTTTAAAGTGCTGGCAGACGTCTTGGAGATAGACCTGGCTGTACCCCTTTGAAAAGCTCTTTTTGGTTTATGCTTGTTAAACCACGAAGGTTTAGAGCAGAAGGGAAAATGCAAATATATACAATGAACTCAAACATTTGGTTGGGGGGGTGGTTTGAAACCCACATTCGATATGAACGCGGGCACCAGCGACGAAAGACACTGAAATCCCCTTTTACATTGAGATTTAAAGGCAACACGACTGATACCGCTTTTTATTCCACTTAGGCAGATTTATTTGTAATAAAAAAAGGGAGCGGGTTGATTTTTATGGGGGAGAATTTTAGCTTTCAGCTACACACGAATTTAAACTGGTTTCCACCTCCTCTAGCGCTCATTTCTAGAAAGTCAATCCAGTTCCGAGGTCTGTAGTCCTTAGAACTTCCCCAGGACTGAGTCCCTGAGTGGGGCCCGCGCACGGAGTTCCTCCGGGAATGGCTGAATCCGGAGGTCCCGGGAAATAACGATTCTAGACTAGATCAAGATGCTTGCACGGACTATGATGGGCTCTCGCTGCGATGGCGGATGTGGCCTGTAGGGGGCGACGAGCAGATGGAAAACTTAACGGGTTTTGTCTCCTAGCGTCCAGCCCCAGCCCTTGGAGACCTCTCCTTGTCTCGAAGTCTCTGAACACCCTGACGCCCTTGTTCATCCTCCGGGCCTGGGACATCCAGGTAGAATCTTGGAGAAGCTACTTCCTCGGCCTGTCTCCTGAAAGGGCCAGAGTCCCGAGGGAAGTTTGTCTTAAAGATTGGGAAGCAATAAAGTTTAGTGATGAGGAAACATCTACTTGGTTGCAATTAAGAGTTATATTTGAGGTTATTTATTTTACATGGTTTATAGGAAGAGTCTTGGCAGTGAGGGGAACATGAAAGGTTAGTGGGTGGGGGGGTGCGTTTCAACGTGGGTTCCTTGAAGAACTGTCCCAAGAGAATGTGGTCTGAAACCCAGTTCCAAAGCCATGAGTCCATTGGACCCTACTAGTGGCAAACTGCAGCATGAATTAGTAAATGTTCTCTCTGGGGCGGGGGTTGTTGGAAGAAGATTCTCAGGGTGCCCAGGCCTAGTCATGAGGGAGTGGGGTGCCTATTTTATGGGAGGGGATGATAGGAAGCAATGGAATGAGAGAGGCCTTGCAGAAGGGGTTTCAATCAGGGATAAGGCATTTTGTGACTGTGACCTTGGACAAGCTGCTTGGTTTCTTTGAGTCTCTCCATTTCTTTACCTCTACAATGAGAATGAGGAGTCCACCTGATGTTTGGGCTTGCAGGATTAGGTGAGTTGGTGTCAGTGAAAAATGTTTTATAAACTGTAAGGAGCTAAGGGAATGTAAGGAGTTTACTTGGTATTTTTAATGGCTTCTGGACAGAGACACAACTCTCTTCCAAACACCAACAGTATTTGCTTTGGTTTTGAAAAACTCAATTTTAGGTGTGAAAAGTGGGTTTTTCTAAGAGGGGTTGCAGAACCTATTCCAGTCCCCTGCTACCTGGAAGGATGGAGCAAAAGAGGATAATCAGAATGGGCTTTTAAAAGGTGGAGTCTCCTGGTTTTGAGTCCTTCTGCCATGCCTTGGGCCTGAGAAGAAGCCCTCAGGCCAGCTGCAGAGGCCTAGTGTGTTTCTTTTTGGCTGACTGGTCCACTTTGCTGTTTGCCCCTTTGCTTCCACCATCTTAGGCAAGTGGGGAAACAGGAGCTCTTTGCTGACAGATGCCCATTAGCGCAAGACATGGGCTCCGGAGTGAATTAAAGGTAACCAGATCCTAAACTCATGTAAAAGACCACCTTCCCTTTACTTCCCCCCAACAGTTGGCAGAGTTACAACCAGAGCCAACTTCTCTCTTAACCATCACCACCCGGTCCCCTTACCCTCTTAGGAATGTACAGGCCATTCTTTGCTCCCCAGGAGCAAGGCCAGCAAGGACAGTGGGTGCACAGAACAAGATTTGAAAAGAAATGTTGCAAAATCAGCCATAAAGTGGTAAGAAAGCATTGACATCTTATTTTTTAATTTCCCGAGGGGGTGTCTTACATCAGAATTTCTCAAAATAAGAATTACATTAATCCCCTTCCCTATTTTAATATAAAACCCATATCCAAGCCCTTCTTTTCCAGATGACGTTGTGTTTATGCACACAGCTTCTTCCCATCAGTGGCAAGGTGGGGAGGAAGAGGGAATACCTTCATTCCCTTGCCTGAGCCGCGCCCCCCCGCCCCCGGGCTGAATTTCAGAGGTATTTTCAGAAAACAAAACAAAACAAAACAAAAAACAGTCCTCCAGAACACCCTCCCCTCTTTTCACATAGCCTCAGAAAGTTCTGTGA